AGCTAGCGCTGAGCAAGGCACGAGTGATGGGAGCTCGCTGGCCGGATGCACACAAGACTCTGTGCTCAGGCATCAGCGATTTCAGCAACTTCTGGCCTGGCCTTGCCCATGTTTTGGGTCCCTGCTGATAGGTAGAATGACATGGGGGAATGACATGGTGGAGAAAAGGGCAGAAGGAAGTGGGGAACGATGGTTGGAGGGTTTTCCACAAAGGCAGAGGTGTCGGAATCTGCTAGGGAGGTGATGAAGAGACTTCTTCTTAGGGGTCTCAGCAGGGAAAACTTATAGAAGTACTTGTTACTCATTTAGGCTGGTGACAACTCCATGTTAGCCCAGGGTGGGCATGCTCAGCTTGCAGAGCCGTGTGGCTGGGCTCCTACCCCTTGCTCTCCAGATCCTCACTGTGGGCACAGAAATCAAGAAAAGCCTCCCCTACTCCCTGCTGTGCCCTTAGCCCTGGCAGGAGCCAAGTGTGAACTCACCGCCCACTGCTCCGTCCCTCAGATCCTCCCTTCTTCCAAGGTCACTTTTCAAGGTCAGCAGGGTGGAGGCAGCCTAGCCCTCCTTCCCACCCTCTCTTCTCTTCCACTGCCCCCACCAGCTCTCCTAACCCAGTCCCAGCAGGCAGAGCCCCCAGACCCCCCACAGACCCCCTCGGATACATCCGTTTCTAATCACAGGATGTGAGAATGTAAAATCACACAGCACGCCTTTCCTTGGCTATGTGCCTGTATCCTCATTCCTCAAATTGCTTTAAGTTATTGGTCAACAGATGTGGTCAAATCACTCATCCTGTCTCCATCCCAGAAACTGCCAATGCCTTTAGAGAGAGAGGAGTGGGGTGATGAGCCTTTGGGGTGCTGGGGATTGGGGACTTTCATGATTGCAAACCAGCCTCTTTCCCCACTTCCCCTTTAGAAACTGGGCAGGACCCTCTTAGACAGGTTACTGACCTCACCCACCCACTGCCTGCCCAGCCAGGCCTCGCGCTCATCACACAGCCCCTCTGCTGACCGCCGATTGCAGGATCTCTCTTCAGCGGGCACTTCACAGGCTGTCGGCCTTGCAGGGTGGGAAAGGGGAAAGTGGCTGAGTGGGAGGGACTCAGGGCTGGGTTTGGGGATGATGTCACAGGACAGGTCCCTCTCTTTTTAGGAATCACTTGAGAAAACATTCTGTACGTATTGGCTTCATCAACTGATGCTGGAATGGCTGTTGCCACGGTAGCAGAGCTCTCCCACTGCAGTAGAGGATAGTGGGAAACTCAGGGGATGTGAAAGGAATCCAGAAAGAGGCAGATAGAGGGACAGGTCGCATTAGGGAGCATTGGAAAGTTCCTGGATGCCCAATGACAATTTTTTTTTTTTTTTGAGACAGGATCTCACTGTCACTCTGCTAGAGTGCAGTGGCGTCATCATAGCTCACTGTAGCCTCAAATTCCTGGGCTCAAGTGATCCTCCTGCCTCGGCCTCCCACAGTGCTAGGATTACAGGGGTGAGCCACTGTGCCTGGCCCGATGACTGTTTAAAGGGACTACCTACCTGGCCATGGAAAGTCCCTTTAAATAATGACAGTGTGAAGGTGGGCAGTATTGCAGGGGCAGAGGGAGGACGGGCACTCCATGGGCTCAGCACTGAATAAACTCACAAGATGCGCACAGAAAGTGTTTTCCATCTCATAAACCGACAGGTGACATTTCATGCAGGAGGGAGGGTGGAGCACTAGGTTTAGATGGTGGGGAGGAGGCTGTGCCTCTCCTGGACAACTCTGTTTTCTCCTCAAATTTTCAGGCCTGTTTATTGAAGTCAGCAAAAGGACTTGGGATTTGGGGAATGTGATATCCCACGAGAAAAGGTACAGAGGAACAAAGAGAAATAAAGAGAGGGGAGAGAACCCAGCTGAAACCCAGCTCACATGGGGGCCTGAGATAACCAGGAAGGGAGAAGGTCAAGTCCCAGGGCAGTGGGTATCCAGGGACAAGGACGTGCAGGTGGACAGAGCAACAAGTGGATCAGTGTTGCGTAGCAACTGTAAAGAATTTGAGAGGAGCTAACCTATAGACACAGGTACCAGAGACGAGGGGCCAAATCAAACCACGGGAGGGAGCACCAGGTTTGCCCACAGCAGTATATACCGGGTGAAATGGGTCACAGTGGAAATAGGGTTTCGCAGCCAGGATGGTAACCAGTTAATTTTCCTGTGTCAGCTAAGGATGAGCTGAATTTACATGCAGGAAGAGAACACAGAGACAATAAGCAAGAATGATCCCAACCTGGTACGTGAGAGGATAGCTATCCTCAGATATTTAAGTAGCTATTTTTAGGAAGGGCGGGGTTCGCACGTGACTGAATTAGGGGCATCTTGTGTAGATTAGAGAATGACCAATGAGTAAGGAGGAGGAGTGTAGAAATGATGCTTTGCACCTTCATTACAAGTGACCTGTGGGATGGGGGACAAGGGCGTGGTCGTGCTTACTCAAAGATTTGGCACCAAAGGTGAGGCTTGGTCCCTTGCTTGAGCGGCTGGGATCCCGTGTTTGGGCATGAGCATGAACACCTCATGTGAACCCAGAGAGGGAATCCCATGATTGGCCCCCCGCTCTGTGCCCTGGCCAAGTTCTGGCATGATACCACTCACATGCCTTTAAGCAGTTCCTCATTGCATGTCACTTCCTATCTGGAATCACGACCCTCTACCCTGAGCTTCCTAAGTGCTGGGCACAGGCCTCTGCACCAGTCTGCATTGTGCCCTCTGCCACAGGGCCTTCTGGCGAATCTTTGCACCCCACTCCTTTCCTCTACTCCTGTAAGGCAGTGCCCCTTGTCATCCCTACAGTTAGAATACACACACCTGTCTGTCTACCTGTGATGAATGTGTTGGTGTGTGTGACATTGCTTTTTCACAGGGACAGGATTATTATTTCCCCACGTCTTGTACTGTCTATCTTGTATTCCCTGCCAGACATTCGAGTTCCTTGAGGGCAGAATCTCCATCTTTCCTTGTATCTCCAAGGCCCAGCCGAGGGTCCATGCTTCTGACCAAACACCTCTCTTCTTGAGAACTCCATGTTCTCCGTACTGTGATAAGCACGTCTTCTCTGCTAAGATCCCTGTCCTTGCAGACTTTATGGTTTCTCAGTGCAGCCCAGGGGTCGTGTAAGGCAGAGTCCTGGGATACCACCAGGACCCAGGCGTCATGCAAGGTACAGACCCAGTATACAAGGCTCAGGCCTCCACATCCATTTAACCAACACAGTTGCGACGCCTGCTTCATGCAAGGTGCTGAGAGACACAGTTCTGCGCGGGGAGAACTCCCTTGCTGGTGGGGGAGACAGACACATACACAAATACCTCTCACACCAGGCAGGCTGTGATGATTGGTGCTAGGAGAGCGAGTGAACCATGAGACTCAGACACACGTTCTTCAGATTCTACGGGAAGGAGAGGAGGGAGGTAGAGAGTTGGAAGCTGGGGACAGGGTTGCGGGGTGGGGGGGCGGATCTGATGGTAGCGCATTCTGGCAAAAAGTTCTTGGGGATTTACAGTTTTCAGTGTGTGGCTCCATCTGAGCCCTGTCCCCCGGGGAGGGGAGCAAGCTTTGCTTTCAGAGAATTCCCCTCCACTTTCTCCTGTCCCCCATCTCTTCCAAGAGCCTTTCGTCTCAGGCAGCCTGGCCCTGACCTGGGGGGCCTTGGGAGGATAGGCAGTGTCCCCTCGACTGAGGTACAGTCCTGGGCAAACTGCTGCCCACTCCGTCTGGCTTTTGCTCCCCTCTACCCTCTCTCGCTGCCCTGGGACCAGGTTGGCAGGAAGGGGGAAGGTCTAGGGAAACATCTTTTCAATTGCTTTCCAGCCCTGCTTTAGCTCTGGCAGACAAGGGACCCAGTGCTAAGCCTCCTCCTTTGACATAGGGCTTTACAGTTCCAAAGCCCTTTGACTCATGAAGCTGGTATTATAACCACCCTAGGAGAAGACAGGGGTTCAGTGACTTCGACAAGGTCATGCGGTCAATTGGAATAGGAACTCAGTCTCCTGATCCCAACTTGGGGCCCTCTCTCTCCAAGCCACCGGTGTCCTACCCCCTATCCCGTACCTCCTGGGCTCGGGAGGGCAACCTGGGGCCTCAGAGACTGAAGTAGGGTGGGACTGGGAGTTTCCTGGGGCAAAACCAGCAGTGATTTGGGGTTGCCGGTGGGGAACTAGCAACCTGGGTATCACGTCCCCACCCCTCTCCCAAGAGCTCCCCTGGGCCCCACAGCCCCACTCTCCCTCCCTCACCCAGCCGCGCTCTCTCAGTCCCTTTTACCTGCACCCCAACATCTCAGCAGGGCTTTCACCCGGACGGGGCAGGGGGCCACCCGTGCCCTGGGAGAACCAGAGAACCCACCCCCACTCACCCGCCCCTGGAGCTCCGCACGCAGATACCTCCCCCTCGCGAGCCAGAAATAGACACACACGCTCTCTCCCCCACCTCCCTCCCCTTGCGCACACTCCTCCCCTCCTCCTGTTTGCTGCCCGCCTTCCCCTTCCCTCCTCCCGCGCTCCGAGCTGCAGCCCGCAGCCTCTGCTCTGCCGGCGGGCGGGCGCGGCCAGGGCGCTGCCCGGCATGGGCTGCCCACAGCGCTGACAGCCGGGCGGGCGGGGGCCAGGACGGAGCCGCCGGGCTTCCATCCTTCCATCCTTCCCCCGATTGATTTTTAAATTTTAATTTGTATCTTCCCCGCTCCGCCCCTTTTCCTCCGACCCCGCCCCATCGCTCCACGGTTTCCGTGCTCTTTCCTTTTTCCCCGGCTTCCTTCCTTGCGTTTCTTTCCCCTGCCCCCTCGGCTTGCCTCCCTCCCTCCTCCCTCGCTCCCTCCCCCTTCCTCTCCCCTTCTTCCCCGGTTTCTTCCGTCCTTTCTCTCCCCCCTCTCCCCCGCTCCTCCTCCCCGCGCTCCCGCCCCCCGCACCCCTCCCGTGCCTGCAGACGCGCGGATCGTCCATGCGCTCCTTGCGGGCAGAATGCTGGGCAGCGGCGTCAAGAGCGCGCAGCCCGAGGAGGAGCTGAGCGGCGGCGGGGACGAGGGCGCGGACGAGCCGCGGGGCGCCGGCAGGAAGGCGGCAGCGGCGGACGGCAAAGGCATGCTGCCCAAGCGCGCCAAGGCGCCGGGTGGCGGCGGCAGCATGGCCAAGGCCAGCGCGGCTGAGCTGAAGGTCTTCAAGTCCGGCAGCGTGGACAGCCGTGTCCCCGGCGGGCCGCCCGCCTCCAACCTGCGCAAGCAGAAGTCGCTCACCAACCTCTCGTTCCTCACAGACTCCGAGAAAAAGCTGCAGCTCTATGAACCCGAGTGGAGCGACGACATGGCCAAGGCGCCCAAGGGCTTGGGCAAGGTGGGGTCCAAGGGCCGTGAGGCTCCGCTGATGTCCAAGACGCTGTCCAAGTCAGAGCACTCGCTTTTCCAGCCCAAGGGCGGCCCGGCCACCGGCGCCAAGACCCCCCTCGCTCCGCTCGCGCCCAGCCTGGGAAAGCCGAGCCGGATCCCCCGAGGACCCTACGCGGAGGTCAAGCCGCTCAGCAAGGCGCCTGAGGCGGCCGTGAGCGACGACGGCAAATCGGATGATGAGCTGCTCTCCAGCAAGGCCAAGGCGCAAAAGGGCTCCGCCGGGCCCGTGCCCTCCGCCAAGGGCCAGGAGGAGCGCGCCTTCCTCAAGGTGGACCCAGAGCTCGTGGTGACGGTGCTGGGCGACCTGGAGCAGCTGCTCTTCAGCCAGATGCTGGGTGAGTCCTGCCGCCCCGCCCCACCCCGCCCCTGGCTTTCTCCGGGCCTGCTGCTGGGGAAGGTGTGGGGAAAGCGGAGCTCCCCCCCTTCCCCCTTCCTGTAGGCTCTGCTGATCACGGGTCAGGTTGTCAGGGGCATTGCGCCCAGATGTGCAGAGCTGGCCCACCTCCAGATGCGCATGGCTAAACTGCATCTTAAAGGTGTTGCCGGGCGGGAGCCCAGGCTCTGCTCTGGCCTGCCTGGGATGAGGCTGGACAATGGGTGGGGGTCATAGGTTCTCAGAAATAGAGCCCATTAGCTTCTTTTTAAAGCCCCCCAGTCCCAGTATGGCAAAATCTGGGGCTGGTGGACACCTTGGTTGTGGTGTGGTCTGCGCTGGACAAGAGAGCATCCAGCATTGCTCGGGGAGCGTCCGGTGAGAGCCGGATCTAGAGGACAGATGTGGGAGAGCAGATGTGAGAGCTGGCGGGCCTGGAACACAGCTGAGGCTCCACTTCCTCTGTGGATCCCGGGTGGGAGCGCGAGTCGGATTTCCCGGGTGTGGGGGTTCTGGCAAGAGAAGCGTCTGGGGCCAGGGGCCCGGCGGGCCGGCTGCCAGCTGCGAGCATCTGGATGCGTCCTACACCTTGGCCTTGGCTCTGTCTCCAACCCCCAGTCCCCCAGGTCTTTAGGGCGTGTGGAAAGGTCTGGACTTTTGCTACGAGACTCCCAGTTGACCGGGAAGCGTTTGCCCTTTGGCTAATGGAAGCGGAGCAGGCGGGAAGGGAGGAACAAAGCTTGCTCGGGTAGAGGAAGCACAGAGAGCTGCTCCATTGTTCTCTGAGTCTGAAGAGTCCATGCGAAAAACCCGGAGCGGGCCCCGGAACTGCGCTTGCTTTCCCTGGAGAACCCCTGCCCTAAGAGAGGGTTAGGTTGGGGACGTGCTGGACGCAAGGCTGCCAGGGCTCTGGAGCCGGCACGGGTCGTGCTGGGGCCACGGGAGGAGGGCGGAGAGGCCTGGAACCCGGGCGAGCCGTCGTGGCTGCGCGGGCTTGTTGCGGTGGCTGGGATGTGGGTCCCCCGGCGCCAGGGGACCCGAGCTTCCCGGGTACCCGGCAGGCTGCCCGCCCGCTGGGGGCTGGGAAGGGGCGTGTCCACGCGCGTGTGAAGGGGCGGGACCGAGCGATGGTCTGCAGGCCGAGTGACAGGAGTGACGGGCTTGGCGGGTGGGGATGGATGGAGGAGCTCGCCTGGCAGCCCTAGAGAACGGAAAGAGAAGCGGGAGGAGGCGGATTCGGCCTGCTGCAATCTTCCCCGGGCCCCCAGACTCCAGTGTGGACCAGGATAAGGGTCCCCAGACCAGAGGCAAGCAAGGATTTGGACCTCCTGAGAAGGGATCCTCTATCCTCACGCAGCAGGCCGCAGAGGCGCTCTGCAGAGGCAATAAGGAGCCTGGACAAGTGCAAACAGGGAAGAGCAGCCTCTTCCCTCTGAGCGCCCCTCCTCAAAGCGGGGCTGGGTGGGTGGTGTTGAAGTGGACTGGGCAGCCTCACTCTGCAAAGGGACTGTGCCCCCCCTGTGCTCAGTGCTGGGTTGAGCCGTTCAGAGGCCCCGTCCTCAAGGAGCTTACAGTCTAATGGGGCAAGACAGAAATAAAGGAAAAAATAAATACATTCCAAACACTAAAGAGGGTTACAGGAAGAATGAAACCTGACGATACAGTGGAGAGGAACTGAAAAGGGGAGGCCTGCTGAGGGACTGAGAGGAGGGTAGGAGAAGCAGGGGTGTGTGTGTGTGTGTGTGTGTGTGTGTGTGTGTGTGTGTTTCAGAGAGAGACTGACTGGGTGGGGGGAGTGTCAGGCACAGAATACCAGAGGGCACTGGTTTGTTTTCAAGGTCGGGGCTTTACCTGCTTGGGATGACTTAGCTAATCTGGGCCTCCCCAGACCTGGAAGTCCCCACACTGCCCGGGGAGATGGCTGCCCATCTCAGGAGGTGACGACCACAGTAACCCTGACAAATAGTCCTGAGCTGGCTGGGGGCGGGGAGAAGGGCAGGAGGGGAGAAGCTGAGCCCTTATTCCAGCTCAGCACTGGACACTTCTCAAAGCACACTACACAGAGCCCTTCAGCAACCTTGGAGGTGAGCACAGGACACCTCGTCCACTCCCCAGGTGGGGAAGTGCAGAGGCCTGCAGTCATCTCTGAGATCCTGGTGGGAGGGAGAGTGTGCTTGTGTCTCCCGAGTGCTAGGCCATGGCTCTTCCTAGGAGGCCTGATTGAGGGAGGGAGAGTCAGCAGGTAATGAGGGGCCTGACCAGGGCTGTGTCTGCTGGGCATGGGCCACCAGAGCTGCCCTGATGACCCCACGAGTGGCTGCAGGGCTTAGCTCTCTGGTGGGGGAAGAGGGGTGGAGGCTCTGCCAAACTTGCTGGACTGTCTCCAGCTGAGAGGACCCAAAGGGGCGGTGTTGGGTGTTGGTTCAGGCCCTAGGAGGGCAGGGCTTGGCCTCTAATGGTGGTGAGGAGGGGAGGTGGGGCTGGCACCCACCAAGCAATGCTTTTCTCTTGTGTGAAGGTCTGGGTGGGGGGCAGACTGCCTGGGGGAGGGGCGAGGGGACAACAGAGGGGATCAGCCTCCCAGAGCCCATGAAGGTGTTCCAGGTGTCAGGACAGGGCCTTGGTGGAGAGCAGGGTGGCCTCTGGGGAGAAGAATGGCTGCCTGGATGTTTCAGGGTGGCAGCTGAAGACACTGGGTATTTGTCTCACTTGCGAGGCTCGGTGTACAGTTATTCTCACGCCCAAGTACCATCCCATAGCCAATTTCTGAGGCAGGGAGTGGGGGTGAGAATGAGGAAGTCGCAAATCAGAACCTTTCTGGAATAAAGGGGAAGAACTGAAACCCGATCATCCCCTTCCCAGAAATCAGCTGGAGCCCCAGATGGTCTAGGCAGATTCCCTGTCTCTTCCCTAACCTTGGAAGCTGCCAAGTAACTGGGGTCCCACTGGGGGAACCCTAGAAACTTTGAAGACTGAGGCTGGCTGGGTCCCAAGGGAGAATGGACCCTGGCCCAGTAGCCACATAAGGCACTTTGGCTCCCAGATGAACGGCTGCCCTTGGCTTGGGTCTGGGGCTGAGCTGGAGGCTGCGTTCCTGAGTTCCCTGTCCAGAAGTTCTAAGCTCTGTGATCTCCTCTGGGACTCACTTCCCCATTTGCTAGTGGAAGAGACCCTCCCATGGCTCACCCTTACCTTGTAGGGTGGGAAGAGGGTGCAGATGAAGGTGATCAGACCTTGAAAATGTCTCAGGTGGCTTAAAGGGCGCCTGTATTAATACAGAGCAATGAAATTCAGATGCACCTTGGCTTGTAATGGGGTTACATCCTGATAAACCCATTATAACCTGAACATACCATAAGTCAAAATGCGTTTAACACACCTAACCTATCCAACATCATAGCTTAGCCCAGCCTACATTAAACGTGCTCAGAATCTTACATTAGCCTCCAGTTGAGCAAAATCATCTAACACAAGGTCTATTTTATAATAAAGTGTGGAATACCTCTTGTAACTTACTGAGTACTGTACTGAAAGTGAAAAACAGAATGGTTGTGTGAATACTCAAAAGTACAGTTTCTATCGAATGTGCATTGCTTTTGCATCACCGTAAAGTTGAAAAATCGGAAGTCAGGGACCGTCTGTACGATAACATCCCAAACCACACTCTTCCCACTTCATGAGCCCTGGGCCTAAGGCTCTCAAAGCAAAAATCAGTCTGTTGACTCCCCAAATGTTCAGGTTTCCCCCTTCAACCCTCCAGGAAAAGGGAACAGAGTGGGACAGCTAAAACTGCCCAGGGTCAGGGTGTAAAAGAGCCCAGGAACCTGGAGTTCCTGGTCCCGCTTTCTCAGGGAAGGTGTCTGGACCCGCTCAGGGGTTGCCATGACAACAGTTAGGCCCTCAGCAGCTCCGGCCAAGCAGAAATGAGGAAGAAAGGCAGGAAGCTGTTCGATTCTAAGCCAGTGGTTGCTGTGGGGTTTTGGGGGTGGGTGGGAGGGAGTCACTCCAGAGAATGGTTCTGGGAAGCTTTGAGGAGTGGGGGGAAAGAAATGTCTTCACCAACAGTTTTTTTTTCCTTTTTATTCAGTGCACTGGGGGGCAGGGTGGGTAGAGGAGATAGTGTGAGTTCTCCAAAGAAGGGCTGCAGAACCGCTGCCCAGAGCGGTTGGGAGATAGGAGCAAGCTCATCCTGTGCCCTGTGTTGGAAGCTCCACACCCCGGGCCTAGCAGGAGAGGGAGGACAAAGCTCACTTCCGCCCTTTCCTGGGGCAGCAGCAGCAGCAGTAGCGCTGGAGGCTTGTGGAATCCCAGGCTGAAGGAAAGTCCAGGCAAGGGGCGGGGCCTGCAGGTGAGCGTGTACGCGTGTGGGGAAGGAACTGGCGCAGCACCTGTGAGCCCTGAGGCCTCCTGCCTTTCTCCAGGTTAGCGCTGAGGAGAGCATTTCTTTTCTTGCCGTGCTCCCCACCATCAGTGTTCAGAATGTTTCCAAGGTGAGGCTTGGGCCCCACCCACGCCCTGTTCCTCTCCTTTGGGCATTGCCTTGTTCAGATTGCTGCAGCCAGCGCTGTCCTCCGAAGCTGGCCTGCCACTCTGCTCCTGAGAGTGATGCAAGGGTGGATGAGGAGGTCTTGGGGGCAGGTCCTCTGTTCCGGGGAGAAGGTACCGATGGAGCAGAAATACCCAGAGCTTCTCTAGTTCCCTGAAGCATAAACCAACCCAGGGCCATGTAAATCTCTGGTGGCTCTAGCCCCAGGCCACAGGCCCCTTCTAGACCTGGACTGAATGGGTAACAGGACAATCCTGGGATGTTTCCTGACACTTCCCTCTTAATCCCCCACTCCTGCCCCCACAGCTCACCCCACCCAGTGTGATACTGTGGCAACAACCACCCAGCCTCTGTGACCTGCCCGCCTCCCCAGGCTGCCAACACCAGAGCCTTCTTCTTCTGCTAACCTCCACTCTCACCCTTCTCTGCAGCAAACACATACCCACACGGCACAGCCTCCAACCCTAAGGGCTAAAGGTGTAGATTGCTCCCTGGGGCTCAAAGGAGAGCCAGTGCTACACTGACCAGGTGGAGTAGAGCCCTTGGGGTCCATACCTGCAGCCCAGCACCCTGCTGTTCTGCCCCTGCTGCAGCTCACTGCAGTGTCTTCCCAACAGCCAGAGGAAGAAAGGGAGCCTTTCTCTCTACAGAGCGCTCTGCCTCCCTCACCCTTTCCTGGGATTTCATAGAACCCCAGAATGAAATTGTCTAGTCTAGTTGAGCCACCCACCTGAAGCCAAAATTAATCCCTCTATAGCGTCATAGACAGGTGGGTGTTTTGTTTACACACTCCTAGTGACAGAGGGCTCACTACCTTATTTTCCTGGAAAGTACTCATTATTAGAATTATCTTTTTTTCTGTTGAGCCAGAATTCTGTCTTCTGCAAATTTCCACCCATGGATCCAGATTTGCTGCCTAGATCCTTACGGATTAAGCTAGCCTGCCTTTCACAGAGTCCTTTTTCTTATATTTGAGGTCAGACACCTATCCGAGCTCCGTTTCATCTTTTCTCCCTTTGCCCTCTCTTTTCATTTTTCTTCCATTTGTCTTGTCTTTTGGAACGAGACCTGATAGGTGTTCACCCCGACTCCTGGGCCCAGTGGAGTCCAGCTCCCCACCTAGACCGCACCCCCACCTCCTTGTAAGGTCTGCGTCTCACAGTGACTCTGCTGGGAACCCACGGCACCTGGCTGTGTTTTATCCTGGCCCAGCCAGGAAGCGCTGCTCCCCAAAGCCTCGCGCTAGCCAGCCAGCAGAGGGGAAACGACACCACATGTTTCTCATTCACGCTGGCTGACCTCCCCCCACACACCCTGTTTGGATTACCCAGATGTGTTTGATGTCCCTGGAGCCTGCAGCCTTCTCTCTCATGCAGGGGAAGGGCCAGGGGGCCAGGCCCAGCTCAGCGTGGGCAGGTTCCCTCTGATAGGAGCCCGTGGGACGCCCGGTCACCCACCTCCCACACCTTCCCCCACACTGCTGCTTCTGGGGACTGGGCCCCTTGCAGGAAGCAGGACACCAGAGCCTTCTGGGTTCAGTTCCATCGTGTTCAGTGAACACAGGTCTCTGTTTACTTCTGACCAACAGAGATCAAGGTGCAGACTGGAAGATGCCCCAGGAACTGTTTATATCTCCCAGCTGGAGACTGCGGGAGGAACGGAGTTGTGCCAAGGGCACGTCCAACGTGACTATCCAGTGTGGGTGCAGCAGTGTGTGCCTTAGCGGGCTGGGGAAGGGAGCTTTTCATCTTTTATAAGCACCTCTTTTCTTTTTTTTTTTTACCAGACCTTACGCCTTTGGCATGTGGAGGGGCAAATTGCAGCGTTGGGAAGCTCCCATTAGGGGAGAATGTGGACCTAATGGGGGTCCCTTCAAGCCCGTTCTGGTGTGAGGTGGGGTGGGAGACATGGAACATACCCCACCTGCAGGTTACAGGTTCACCCCACGAGCTCTGGCTCCAGCGGTTCCCAGGCTCGTGCTGCCAGCGCTGTTGGACGTCGCGTGTTTGAAACACACTTCTCCAGTCGAGCTCCAGCCAAACCTCAGCACGGCAGCCAGGCTCGGCAGGGCTAGGCCTTGGCCAGAGCCGTCCTGAAATCTATTTTAGACATCTCAATGATACATTTCGGGGCCACTGGAGTGGGCAGTTTCTCCACAGCATCTTCTAGTTTCCGTGCAGCAGCTCTTGCTCTGGGACGCTCAGGGTACTCACTCCTGTGGGGGGACAGGCGGAAACCTAGCGCAGACCCAAGCCCTGCTGTGCTGTCCGCGCTCCCCTGTTCGTCCCTGTGGAATCCCAGAGGTGTCTCGGAGGTTATCCAGTTTTGGTGTTGCTGTTGGGTGTGGTCTGGTCTGTGAGTCTGAGTGTCATAAGCTCCAGTTGTTTCCGTGGAGAACCGGGGTTGTAAACTGTGACCTTGGGCTGAGTAGGAAGACAGTGAATGCTGAGGGAGCAAGAAGCAGGCAAGTGTTACATGAGAGGTATTGGGTTGCTAGGTTGTGTGGCACGACACACGCCCCCATAACTTGGGCAAGGTTGGGTGTCAGGGTGTGAACACCGGTTGTGCAATGGATGGTATGTGTTCACACGGCTCCGTGCGGATAAACACACACGCACTGGTCTCCAGCACATATGCACATACTAAAGGCGCATTTGTGTGCATGTTTGCAAGAGCCGGGCAGGTTTAAAAGAGCCTGAAATATGACCGTGGTGGAACAACTTCCCCCAAACAGACCCCCAGGCAGAGACTGCAGGGGTTCAGACTCCTTGGCTTCCTTCCCAGAAAAGCACTGCAAGTGCTGATTGCTCCTCAGACCCTGAGGACACGGGCTCCTTTTGCCCTTGGTGACCCACTAAACAAGCCCTTCTCTTTTGGGGAAGCTGGCAGCCACCCAGGAGGCCCTGCCTTCTCTCTGCAGGGTCCCTAAGCTGCCATGGGCCTAGGATTCCAACATCCCTACACTGAGGAGCTGCCTCGTAGGAGCTCTGGGATGGGAAGTAAAGCTTGAGAATGCAACAATCCGATAATTAAAACTAGCATTTATCATCACTTGGTGTATGAGAGGCATTGTTCTTCTTATGTATAAGCAGTCTCTTAATGCTTACAGTAATCCTGTGATCCTGGTACTTCAGATGAGGAAACCGAGGCAGAAATACAAGTCATCTGCCCAAAACTAGTAAGGCAAGTGAACGACAGACCTAGGATTTGAACTTTGCCTCCTGAGACTGAGGCTTTGGGCCCTGCCTGCCCGTTCCTGAAAGGCTAGATGAGAAGTATCCATGCTCATTGCAGTACAGGGCAGAATGTCGCTTACTGTGACAAGTTAGAAAGGCTGCCGAGGAGGGCAGAGCCGCCCAGACCTGGCTCTCAGTGCGTGGGCTGTGTGGGGGCAGTGAGGGGGGTGGGGAGGGGCCTGTGCTCCAGAGTGACATGCATTTTGAAAGAGGAGTGGGATCCCGGCAGTAGAGAGAGGGAAGACTAGAAAAGGAAGGGAGAGGTAAACGTGGGCTCGATGGCGGTGGTCAGGAGTCCTGTCCGGCTGGAGGAGAGGTGGGAAAGGAGGTGAGGGAGGGGATGAGGGCGGAGAGGCAGGTTGGGCTGGGACCATGGCTGAGCCGATGTGGAGTCACTGGGACCCACTTAGGCTCTGGGCAGACATTTGAATGGAGGAGAACAATCAGGGTTCGCCCCCAGAAGATCCCGCAAAAGAGTCCTGTGTCCACTGGTCCTTCGAGAGGTTGTGACTGATGAGATCAGCCAGCCCGCGGCCTCCCCAGTTCCGCATGTGTTTGCTCAAGGGCGGATTGCTCTCGCAGTGTCCACGTGCGAGGGACCGAGGGAGAGGATGCCTCCACGCCCAGAGGTTGTCCCCCTGATTAGCGGCAGCTCTGGGGGTGAGGGTGCCTCTTACCCTACGCCCAAGTCTTCATCTTCTCCTGATCCTTTGTCCTGCCACTGACTGTTCCAGCTGCCATGCCCCGGGCATTGCCATGGGATTCCGTTGTTACAGGAGCTGAGACGTTTTCCCTTGGAGGATTTGGTTTTGTCATGGAGTCTCGGTGTCCCTAGGAGGTGTCGTCCTGGAGTTGCCATGGGTGTAGCTGCTGCTTTACTGTCTCAATGCTCCCCCAGGGCCTCGATGGCCACGTGGTGTCGAGGGGTTGCTGCAGCATTCGGGCCATGGCTTCCCTGTCGTCCTGCCTCTGACTGCAGCACCCGGAGAAGAGGGTTACGACAGCCCGGAAGGCAGCAGTGTCTGTCAGGGGGAGGGAGGGAGGCTGGCCCGTGCTGGTGCTGCCCCTGCTGGTGTATGGCAGCAGCCATGGGGGGTGGCCTTCCTCAGCCGTGCCTGTGCTGCCTGACACTGCCCACCCGGGAGGGTGTGCTTGCTGCTCTGCAGGCAGTGTGAAGAGGCGGCTGTTGCTCCTGCTGCCTCCATCAGGGGCCCCACTGGGCTCCCAGGAGTGCCACCAGGGCCAGGTCTCCCTGCTTGGCACGCCAGACCTTTCTGAGGTCCCTCAGCCCGTAGCTTGGGGACCACCAAGGGCCTGGCTACAGGTTTGGGCTCCCTGGAAGGAAGCACTCAGCCCCCGAAACTCTAATCAAGGCCATGCACTCTGCAGATCAGTCAAGCACCTTCGTCCTGAGGACCTGTGGGGGACCATTTAACACTCACAGACACGTCTGAGACACTGGAGATCAGCAGTAACCGTGTTGCACATTTGTTGAGCGCTCACTGTTTGCCAGCTGAGCTGAGTGCTTTGTGTAAACCCATTTCACCCTCACAATGAGATAAGATTCAATGTGCAAAATATTTGACAACCTTATAGGCTGCAGAGCTGGAGGAGTCCTGCCCCCCACCCCGGCCCCACCCCGGTAATGCCAGACATTAACTCTGTGGCTGCTGGATTATAGGGGGACCCAGAGGAAGGGCCCAGGTGGCCAGGGTGCCAGGGGGAGCATATGAGGGCTCAAAGAAGCCCTGACTTGCCTAGTATAAGGAAGTGTTTCATATTTTTTAACAACCAGTGTGGCCCTACTGGTGCATTCCTGTTGACTGGTAACCCCGCTATTGTATAAGATTCAGATATAAGGAAACTTAGGGGAGCCTAAGGGAGGCCAAGAAGCTTGCCCAGAGGCATGTGCAAGTTCTTAGTAGAGCTGAGATTCAAACAAGCCTGGGTTCAGGCTCATACATTTAGCCACTAGACTCTCCTGCCTCTTCACAAGTAGCAACTCTCTGCTCCCCTTGCCCTCTCCATATTCTAGAGCCCTTAGGCTACATCACTCTTGCAGTGTCCTGAGAGCCCAGGTCTATAAGACTTGCTTCTCTTCTGCCCTCAGTATTCCTCGAGTGCCACTACCTGCCAGTGCCCTGCCTGTCAAGGCTCTCACTGTCTGGCGTGGGACGCAGAGCCCCGCACAGGCAGCTGCGGTTCAGTGTCATGGCTGTGCTGGAGAGAGATGCCCAGGAGCTGCAGGGAGGCTCTCGTGGCCGGGATGAGGGTGACTAGAATGGTCAGGAAGGGCGGGGCCCTAAGATGTCAGCCCAGGATAAGCTGTTCCTCTGGCCCCCTGACTGGGAATACTGGATCTATCACTCCCTAACTGCTGATCTTGGATAAACCACTTGCCTGTCTGAGCCTCAGCCTCCTTGTTGGTAAAACAGGCATCAGACTCCGCAGCTCCCAGATCTGGGAGCGCCGGATGAGACGCTGCATGGGCAAGGGCTGGCGCGGAGGCTGGCCCGTGGCCGGTGGCTGGTGGTGCAGATGTCAGCCCCGTCCGCATCCCGGGGCACGATTTCCCTTTTACTCTCCCCTCCTGCTCCCCGTCGGCCAGTAGCTCCTGGTTTCTAGATTAGATTTCCCAGAGTGTTGCATCTAGGCGGTCAATTAGCTTCATGGAAGATCCGAGGACTCATGACAGTAACATCTATCATTGTTACTGCACCGGTCACTGTCCTAAGCACTTTACGTCAGAGCAACCTGGTGCACTCGGTACTATTTTTATCCCCATTTTACCAGTGAGGAAACTGAGAGGTTAAGTAACTTCCCCAAGGTCACACAGTCAGGAAGTAGAGGGGCCTGGGTGTAGCCCCAGGGGGTCTGGCTCAAGCGCCCTGCCTCCTTAGCACTGTGCCATGAGGCCTCTCGCCAGTGGCAAATGCTGGCCTTGTAGCGTCCCACAAGCATGGCGGACTACCCTGGGCAGCTGCCCAGATCTTTTATTCTAAACGGGGTTGTCCTGCTCTGAGGTCTCCTATGAGAGTTTTGTGCTACAGGGAACTGGGACTCTAGCATGTTCCTTGGACTCTCTTGGGTACCTGCTGCCAGGCTGGGGGCAGTGTGTGGGGTCTGTGGCTGAGACACTTTGCCCACCCTGCATTCCCATCCTGGTGGTCCAGAAGGGCCAGCATGAGCGTGTCTGCTACAGGGGACTAGTGTGCACCAAGACTCTGGCGTCTGCCCTTGGCCTGGAGCCCCATGTGTCTGGGTCCCGGCCTGCCTGCTGCAGTGGAAAGAGCACCGGCCTTGGAGCCATGCGCTCGCGGGTTCAGATCAACTCCAGTGCTTGCTAGCGGGCTGCCCCAGCCCTCCTCGCACCCGTTCGCGATGGGGCTTGTATCCACTTGGAGGTACTTGTGAGGGTTGAGTAGAGCGTGCGTGTAGAGCCCCTGGTCACCACACAGGATCGATAAGTTCGTTCCGCTTCCCCCTCTCCCGCAGGCCCACAGACACCCTGTCCCTTCTCATCCCAGCCACCGTGGCTCTGTAGATGCTGTGGCCACCAGTGCTCACAGTGGGTTTCATTTACAGAACGGCTCCAGCCACTGACCCTGCTTCAGTTCAGCCCTGATGCCCTGGAGCCGGCTTAAACAGAAGGTGGAGTTTCTTACAGGACAGATAATAGCTCAGGGACCAGCCAGGCTCCAGGGGAAAGGGCACTAAGTTTACTGGGCAGCTTCGCCTGCCTGGCACTCTTGCTCTCCCCTCTGCCCTGCTCTACACGTCTGATTCGTCTCCTCTCGTACCGCAGGCTGACCTCTGCCCCCAGGCCACGTGGCTGGACAGGGATCCCCTCAGCTCCAGGCCTCTTCTGTCCAGGAGATCAGCCAGTTTCCTCTAAGGGTGGAGGGGAGGGGAGGGGAGTGGTCTACGACGGGCCCATCACAAGGAGAGAGGACAACACATTCTCCAGAAGTTGGCTTTGGCAAAGGTTATGTGTCAGCCGAGTGGTTGTTTAGACTATGATGAAAAGAAAATAGCAGAAACAGTATGAAAAAAATGGTTAGACCATGAGGTGTGGGGAGATCATCAAAGTGTAGTACCTTTTGTTCAAGTTCACTACCCATTTCTAGTCCTTAACCTGGGGCCTGGCTCCTGTCTACTAGATCAGAGTGAAAACTGGCAATGTCCTCACTTCTGGGCAGGGATGGGGACTCAGGTGTGACCTATAGTTTTACCCTGGGCTTGTCTGTCCCCTCTCTGCCCCGGGACCTCTGAAACTGTCTGCCCTGTTCCCAGTCCATCCATTGCCCAACGATCCCTCTGGTGGTTCTCGAAGGAAGGTTCTTCCCAGGGCTGAGGGATGAAACCCACCCCAGTGGCCTGTTGTCACACAGCTGGGGGGACATCTGGGGTGGAATGAGGCCAAGACATCCTGGCTCCTTCCCTTCTCTCATGGGGGAACAGGTGGATGGGCTTCATGCTGACCCATGTTTTCCAAGAGCATGAGGCTGGGCCTGGGGCCAGGGTATTGGGCTGGGGGAGGGGCCCTCTGGACTTGCCGTGGGGCAGGGAGGGTGTTTGGTGGGGGATGGGAAGGAATTTGCTACAGAGGATCTAGCCCTGCTTCTGAGCCAGAGGAGCCAGTCTGGGCCTGGGCCTGGGCAGGGGGTGGATTCCTGCCATTTTCCCACACTTAGCACAGAGATTGGGTTTCCTGCTGAAATTGTATCTTTGGATCACTATCATAAAGTTCCCAGCCTCTCAGCTCAAGCTGTTTGCAGCCGCTCTGTATGGCCTAAGTCATCACCCTTACTCTCTTGGGGTCCTGGGAGGGAGGACACAAGAGTATAGTCGCTAAATGCACAGGCTATGGGGTCAGCAGACCCAAGTTCAGATCTTGACTCTGTATTAACTAGCTTTGAGGCCCTGAGCCAGTTAACCTCTCTGACCTTCAGTTTCCTCATCTGTTAAATGGGTCAAATAATCTACCTCCTAGGATTCTTATGAAGATTAAATAAAATAATGTATATAATACACGGAGCACAGTGCTTAGCACATGAAAAGCACCCAATAAGTGATAAGTTTTTTTTTTTTTTTTTGAGGCAGAGTCTCACTCTGTCACTCAGGCTGGAGTACAGTGGCATCATCCCAGCAACCTCAAACTCCTGGGCTCAAGCGATCCTCTTGCCTCAGCCTCCTGAGTAGCTGGGACTACAGGCGTGTGCCACCATGCCCGGCTAATTTTTCTATTTTTTGTAGAGATGGGGTCTCACTGTGTTGCTCAGGCTGGTCTTGAACTCTTCGCCTCAAGCGATCCTCCCACTGTGGCCTCTCAAAGTGCTAGGATTACAGGCGTGAGCCACGGTGCCCGGCCAAATGATAATTTTATATTATTATTTCATTATTATCTATCTGCCCCACTATGTGGGGTTGCAGAGGAAGGAGACATGGCTGCTGTCCTCAGGGAACCCCAGTCTGAGGTGGCAGACACAGGCCTGGTCCTCGGGAGCTCCCTGTCCTGATGCGGGGGACTCGGTCCTGCCCTTAGGAACCCACCAGTCGGATGGAGGAAACAGGTGTCTTGCCTCGAGAAGACAAACCCCTGCGCTCTGGAGCCCCAGCTTGTTTGTCCTCAGAATCCTGTATTTCCGGGACCCTTGCTCCTGAGCCTAAGCGTGCCCTCAGCCTGCCGCCTGTGCCAGCCTGACCGCCGCCTCCTCCTGCCCCCTGCACAATGCCCCCTCTCCCTCCGTGTCCTTGGGCCCTGCCTCCGTCTGCTGTCTCTTGGTGTCTGAGTCCACCGGGTGACCTGTTCATCAGGTCCTGCCTGTGTGCCAAGCTCGTTCTCAAGAAGCGTCTCCCTCAGGATGCTAGTTCCTTTCTAAATGCCACCCCGACTGCAGACACAAAAATTAGACCTGTCAGTTTGCATGCCGTCTGCCTTAAATTTGCATTTGATTAAGAAGCACCAGCATCCTCCCACCCATGCTCCTTCCTTCCCGACCTTCTCTTGTCTGAAGCGCACCCCCATTCTCCCAGCCTCTGCCTTTCCCGTGCTCAGGAAATCCTCCCGTTGGGCTCCTCTCTGTTGCCTGGGCCAGTCCCGCAGATCTGCGTGGCATTCTCCGCTTCTTGCGTCTTTTCTGGGGCCAGCTCCGCAGATTTTGCTTGGGGACGGTGCGTTCTCACTGTGCCTCCAACACTCTCAGTTCCTGGAGCTCCTTGACAAGAGTCCAGGGGCTGGTTGAGAAATAGCTGCCTTTGCTGGGGGCTCGTGGAGGAGGGGCCCAGGCGCACCCTCCCTGTCTGTGCGCACTCGCCACGAGCTCGACCTCATGCAGGAAACCACCGGGTGCAGAATAACCTTTGAAAAGCCTCCTTCCCTTCTGCCTTCTCAGTCTCTCTCTGGAGGGTTGAGGGCAAGAGCCACAGGTGGGCAGAGAGAGCGCCCCCCAGTCCCGAGGGCAGCTGGGTCACCGTCACGCCTCGCTTGGCTGAGAGACAAGGAGGAAAGGGCAAGACCGGGGCGGTGGTCAGAACTCCAGTCCTTTTTCTGCACTCACACTGTGGGAGCATCTCCATCAGGAGCAGGATGGCCTCTGCCTCCTGACAGCAAGCCTGCTGCGGGTTGGAGTTTCTCCCGTCCACGTTGCAGCCACACTCATCTCTCAATGATCCGTGCTAGTGTAAAAAAAAAAAAAAAAGAGCCATTCCATCTGCTTCGAACTGCTCTCCTGGAAACTGTGGGATACGGTTTTCCTTTTCTGGTTTCCAATCCCTTTTGACTATGATTGGTGCCCATTTCGGTCCCCGAGCTCATGTGTGAAGGAAGTGGAGGAGCAGCGAGCTCCGCGTGGGTGACAGGTGAGGCCACTCACCCCACACCCCATGGCAAGTCCCACTGGGCTGGGGGTCGGAGGGCAAAGGGAGCGGTTGCCAGAGCTGACGGAAGGGGCCTCCAGAGTCCCACCCTTTTCTCGGGCAGACAACCTTCACTATCCCTCCATCCCCAGCCACACTGGGTCCCCTGGTCTGCCCGGGGAGCGGGCCGGGGGGGGCAGCACCCCCTCTCTATCTCTCGCCTCCCTCTCCTGTCTTGGCTCCCGTATGTTTGGGGAATGCAAACTGACACTAGCATTCGCCTGAGCCAGACAGAATTGAACAGGGAGTCTTTCCCCGCCCCCACTGCGGTCTTGCCTCCCTCCTTACCAAAAAAAAAAAAAAAAAATCATGTATTATCTGAAGGAGCTCTGTATGTAGGAAACATAAGTCTGGGAAAAAAA